CGACAATTTTGACTGAAATGCCAAATTTGAGCAAAAATGTGATTTCTCTTGTGAAAGATTTCATCCCTTAGGTTTGATGAATGTTTCGATTTTTTTGACTGAAATGCACTATTTGTACAAAAATGTTATTTCTCTTGTGAAAAATTTCATCCCTGAGATTTGGTGAATTTTTCGTCAATTTTGTTTTTGTCTGAAATGCAAAATGTGAAAAGAAAATATGATTTCTCTAGTGGAAAATTTCATCCCTCAGATTTGGTGATTTTGGCACCAAAAAAAAATCATTTTGGACTTTACTGCAAAATTTGAAAACAAATGTGATTTCTCTTCTGAAATGTTTCATCCCTTGAGATTTAGTGACATTTTTCAACATTTGTTTTAATTTTTTGACTGAAATTCAATATTTGGACATGCATGTGATTTCTCTTGTGAAAACTTTCATCCCTGAGATTTGGTGAATTTTTCGATAAGTTTTGTGTTTTTGACTAAAATGGCAAATGTTGAAAAAAATGTGATTTCTCTTCTGAAATGATTCATCCCCTTAGATTTAGTGAATTTTTCAAGATGTTTCTATTATTTTGGATTGAAATGCAAAATTTGGAGAGAAAAAATGTGATTTCTCTTGTAAAAAAACTTCATCCCTAAGATTTAGTGATTTTTTCGACAATTTTTTGTTTTTGACAGAAATGTAAAATGTGTTAAAAATATGTGGTTTCTCTTGTGAAAAATTTCATCCCTGAGATTTGCTCAATTTTTTAACAATTTTTCTCTCAAATGCCAAATTTGAGCAAAAATGTGATTTCTCTTGTGAAAATTTCATCCTAGATTTAGTTATTTTTTTTACATTTATTTTTAGTTTTGACTAAAATATCAAATGTTGAAAAAAAATGTGATTTCTCTTCTGAAATGTTTCATCCCTGTAGATTTAGTGATTTTTTCAACATTATTTTTATATTTTGGATTCAAATGCATAATTTGGAGAAAAAAATGTGATTTCTCTTGTAAAAAACTTCATCCCTAAGATTTAGTGATTTTTTCGACAATTTTTTGTTTTTGACAGAAATGTAAAATGTGTTGAAAAAATATGATTTCTCACGTGAAAAATTTCATCCCTGAGATTTGCTCAATTTTTCGACAATTTTTCTCTCAAATGCAATATTTGGGAAAAATGTGATTCCTCTTTTAAAAAATTACATCCCTGATATTTGGTGAATATTTTGACAATTTTGTTTTTGTCTGAAATGCAAAATTTGAAAAGAAAATATGATTTCTCTAGTGGAAAATTTCATCCCTCAGATTTGGTGATTTTGGCACCAAAAAAAAATCATTTTGGACTTTACTGCAAAATTTGAAAACAAATGTGATTTCTCTTCTGAAATGTTTCATCCCTTGAGATTTAGTGACATTTTTCAACATTTGTTTTAATTTTTTGACTGAAATTCAATATTTGGACATGCATGTGATTTCTCTTGTGAAAACTTTCATCCCTGAGATTTGGTGAATATTACGACAATTTTGACTGAAATGCCAAATTTGAGCAAAAATGTGATTTCTCTTGTGAAAGATTTCATCCCTTAGGTTTGATGAATGTTTCGATTTTTTTGACTGAAATGCACTATTTGTACAAAAATGTTATTTCTCTTGTGAAAAATTTCATCCCTGAGATTTGGTGAATTTTTCGTCAATTTTGTTTTTGTCTGAAATGCAAAATGTGAAAAGAAAATATGATTTCTCTAGTGGAAAATTTCATCCCTCAGATTTGGTGATTTTGGCACACAAAAAAAATCATTTTGGACTTTACTGCAAAATTTGAAAACAAATGTGATTTCTCTTCTGAAATGTTTCATCCCTTGAGATTTAGTGACATTTTTCAACATTTGTTTTAATTTTTTGACTGAAATTCAATATTTGGACATGAATGTGATTTCTCTTGTGAAAATTTCATCCTAGATTTAGTTATTTTTTTTACATTTATTTTTAGTTTTGACTAAAATATCAAATGTTGAAAAAAAATGTGATTTCTCTTCTGAAATGTTTCATCCCTGTAGATTTAGTGATTTTTTCAACATTATTTTTATATTTTGGATTCAAATGCATAATTTGGAGAAAAAAATGTGATTTCTCTTGTAAAAAACTTCATCCCTAAGATTTAGTGATTTTTTCGACAATTTTTTGTTTTTGACAGAAATGTAAAATGTGTTAAAAAAATATGATTTCTCACGTGAAAAATTTCATCCCTGAGATTTGCTCAATTTTTCGACAATTTTTCTCTCAAATGCAATATTTGGGAAAAATGTGATTCCTCTTTTAAAAAATTACATCCCTGATATTTGGTGAATATTTCGACAATTTTGTTTTTGTCTGAAATGCAAAATTTGAAAAGAAAATATGATTTCTCTAGTGGAAAATTTCATCCCTCAGATTTGGTGATTTTGGCACCAAAAAAAAATCATTTTGGACTTTACTGCAAAATTTGAAAACAAATGTGATTTCTCTTCTGAAATGTTTCATCCCTTGAGATTTAGTGACATTTTTCAACATTTGTTTTAATTTTTTGACTGAAATTCAATATTTGGACATGCATGTGATTTCTCTTGTGAAAACTTTCATCCCTGAGATTTGGTGAATATTTCGACAATTTTGACTGAAATGCCAAATTTGAGCAAAAATGTGATTTCTCTTGTGAAAGATTTCATCCCTTAGGTTTGATGAATGTTTCGATTTTTTTGACTGAAATGCACTATTTGTACAAAAATGTTATTTCTCTTGTGAAAAATTTCATCCCTGAGATTTGGTGAATTTTTCGTCAATTTTGTTTTTGTCTGAAATGCAAAATGTGAAAAGAAAATATGATTTCTCTAGTGGAAAATTTCATCCCTCAGATTTGGTGATTTTGGCACAAAAAAAAAATCATTTTGGACTTTACTGCAAAATTTGAAAACAAATGTGATTTCTCTTCTGAAATGTTTCATCCCTTGAGATTTAGTGACATTTTTCAACATTTGTTTTAATTTTTTGACTGAAATTCAATATTTGGACATGAATGTGATTTCTCTTGTGAAAACTTTCATCCCTGAGATTTGGTGAATTTTTCGATAAGTTTTGTGTTTTTGACTAAAATGTCAAATTTGGAAAAAGATGTGATTTCTCTTGTTGAGAGTGTTATCCCTCACATTTGTTGATTTTTTTGACAATTTTTTCTATTTTGACTAAAATGCAAAATTTGGAAAAGAATGTGATTTCTCTTGTGAAAATTTTCATCCCTGAGATTTGGTAATTTTTTTTGGACGTTTTTATTTTGACTGAAATGGAAAATTTGGAAAAAAATGTGTTTCCTTTTTTGAAAATTTTTATCCCTGAGATTTGTTGAATTTTCTCAACATTTTATATTTGACTGAAATGAAAAATTTGGAAAAAATGCGATTCCTCTAGTGGAAACTTTCGTCCCTCAGATTTGGTGATTTTTGCACGAAAAAAAATTCATTTTGGACTTTACTGCAAAATTTTAAAACAAATGTGATTTCTCTTGTGAAATGATTCATCCTTTTAAAATTAAGTGACACTTTTCAACATTTAAAAAAAAATTTTGATTTAATTTTTTTTGGACGTTTTGATTTTTACTGAAATGGAAAATTTGAAAAAAATGTGATTTCTCTTGTGAAAAAATTCATTCACAAGATTTGGTCATTTTTTCGTCCATTTTTTTGTGTTTGACTAAAATGTTAAATGTGGAAAAATATTTGTGATTTCTCTTCTGAAATGTTTCATCCCTTTTGATTTAGTGATTATTTCGACAATTTTTTGTTTTTGACTGAAATGGAAAATTTGTACAAAAAGGTGATTTCTCTTGTGAAAACATTCATCCCTAAGATTTGCTCAATTTTTAGAATTGTTTTGTCTCGAATGCAATATTTAGAAAAAAATGTGATTTCTCTTGTGAAAAATGTCATCCCGAGATTTAGTTAATTTTTCGACAATTTTCTGTTTTTGCCTGAAATGCTAAATTTGAAAATAAAAATGATTTCTCGAGTCCGCAAACCTAACAGATATGGGGACCAACCGAATTAGGTACATAACATGCTAAAGTATTATTTCTTTCTAAAGAGAAGCTAAACTCTGTGGTTTGAAATGGTCAGTGCAAACTGCACTTTCAAATTACGTTTGACATGGCTGAGACCAGGCGCATGCAAACTAGAATTCTCATGTGACAAAGGCGCATGACTGGCTGTCAGAATTGCAGTGTGGATGGACCTGTACAAATGCCAAGCTTTGTCTTAAATTTTGCTATTATTTCCGGAAAAATAATAATATGAGCCTTGGTCAAAGCATCACTAAATACAGCAACGATTTAAACATCATCAAATGTATGGCATTTTACAACATGGACAATTGTATGGAAAACAACCTTAGTGCAGTAGACATGAGATTAAGAAAAGTCAGTGGTGATGGCGGTCAAATTCCAAAACAATGTCAGGGTTGTGAATCAGTTGTGTTTATACATTCCCATGTGACGTAATGTGTCTACAATAGTAAATCTTTTAGAATGGGACTGCCTCAGTTGTGATGAATGCCAAAAGGGAAACTATTTGTCTCTCTACTTCAGACATTTTTTGAAAACTAATAGTTACCAGGGACATTGTACTTGGACACAGACAAATGTAGCAGTGTTAAAGTCAACACTTGACACCCTCCTTAGTGCTGTGACACCAACAATTAGATGTCACTTGGTCTTGCATTTTTGATGGCTCCTGTCTATCAGGCATGGAAGTGGTTTGGTTCGACACATCTTTTAAACAGTATTTCTGAACTATACCATCACAGCATATCAGCTTGATGTGGGATTGAAGCCCAAACTAAGGAGATCTTTTCCACAAAAACATGGTTGTGGTGCTGACAAACTAGAAAGACTGGGCCACACATGACCCATAACTTACAATAAACACTTGGTGATTGACACTACATTTCATTAACTTAGTCAATTGAGATAACAATGATTGCATTCATTGTATTGTAACACATTTTTATTTTCATGCTTTACACAGGTCACGCCACAATCAGTGACAGAGGTCAATTATTGTACAAAATACCTCCTGTGTTATATGGCTACAAAACCTAAGCTTACAAAGTTACACTCAACAATTAATATAAATTCAGTCCACATGTTCTGTTGAATTATCTGCTCTGCTTTATATCTTTTCAACTCAGCTGCTGTTGGCTTCATGAACCTGAAAAGAGAGAATAGTTTGAAAACCATATTGTCACATTTATAATAATCTCTGGCCACTTTAATACAAAAAAACAGAGTACCAATTCTACAGAAGACCTTTCACATTGATATAAAGCTTGAGGGTTTTGGGTGTGCCATTTTAGCTATGTTATCCTGAAGCTACACAGCAAAATAGTGCCACAGCACAGCAGGTCATGTAAAATGTAGTCAACAGCCAACAGAGACAGTGATTAGGGTAAAAATAAATGCATGTTTCCTGTCACTTCAATTTAGTATTTTACTTTTTTTAGGTTTGTATGGTAGGATTTTTATTATTATTTTTTCCCCTTTTCTTGAGATAATCTGACTATCACCAAGGAACTTTGTATGGTGAATGTCAAATTTGTGATAAAGCATCACTAGATATGATGATTACCTTTGCATTACCATTTCCTGTTCTCTACTGTGCATTGTTTTATATGCACAGATTTAGATTATATGTATTTGTCTCGTAAACAACGCCGGAAATAGCAGTCAGCTGTACATAAATTTTCTCCCTGAACTACTAGTGATTACCCGGTAAGTCAAAAATACCTTACAATAGAACTCAACAAATGTTGATGCAATGTTCAGAAGACATTGTATCTAAAACTATATTTTTACCAGCAATAACATATTCCAATATCGTGCCAAAAAGTACGTTAGTTGCATCCAGCATTTGAAAGCATTGACAAAAAAATGCATTATACTGTGGCGCTATTGGGCACATTCAAACTATAGGATACTTTACAGATATAAATGTTTTTGCATTGGATGTTTGTTGTCAACATTTATCTTTGTTCTAATAATTGGTATTAACATTTATATGTCATGATCCCCTTCTTTTATAATAGTACACGAAAAAAAATAATCATTGACTGACTGACTGAAAGACCTTCAAAAAGGCCTTGACATTTGACATAAGCATGACATAGGACATATACTGGGTTACTTATTGAGTGTCAATTATAAGTGATATGAATTATTCTTCTAGTGACCTTGATTGTCAAAGGAAAGTTGATCTAATTATTTTGACCTGACATAAGTCACCCTAAAGCTGATGTGTTGAGACCCTGCCTCAGTCATCATGTATACTAAGTTTCATCAAATTCCATTCGTAAATTAAAATGTGTTTGCATTACATGCAAAAACAGAAGCAAATTCCCATTTACACAGACGGCATCAGGACCCCCACCCTAAACATTTAATATAATATAACCTCAGTACACATGCATTATACCGGACACCAATTCGCCATATTTGATCGATTCCACTAACAAAGTATTTTTTATCTACTTTGGTAATTAAACATTTCATTAACTTCTGAAAGCATTTGATTCAGGCTGTTGAGTGGGGGGCAAGCCCCCCAAACACCCTGTTGTTTTAGCGAGGTGACGTAAAACATAGAAACCATTACTGAAGAATAAGCTTGTGCACATCCCTTACCAAAATGGCAAAAGGTGTCCAGTATACTGCATTCTTGCCATAACCTCTATTAGAAATATTTAACCATGCCTAAGTGAACTACGAACACAAACACAAACACACACAGACACAGACACAGACAAACTGGGAAAACAAAATATTTTGCCTGATATTTGGATCTAGTCATCACTTCCGGTTCTGAGATGACTCATAACATCAGACCCGGTTACATACCACCTTTCGACTTCAACATATGACATAATTTCCTTCTAAAGATGTACTTTCCATTTTCCTGATGGTGATATTAATTAACACATATTTGACATTCTCCTATGGTGTCAATATGATGTAGATACCTATTCTCACCTTTTTTACCTTTGATCTCTGATTTCAGTGTGAGCCAGTGATCTATCTGCCCACTGACTTAACAGACTTGGGTTCAGATGGGCAACTTATCAGTTTTGAGGTACTTCTAGAATGGGCTGCCACAACAGGCCCAAGAGAGCATACCCGGGGTAGTCCACCTCTGATCGGTTTGAACATCACAAAAGTAGAAGTAAAACGTATTGTGGTATTTCAATTGCCAGTTCACCATCACTTGTTTCAATGAATACTGTGTTCAATGAACTAAGACTTGTTGCTAGGACTCTGCAGCTTCCCAATGTTGTAGCAATTTGTGCTTATTGACAGCTGTCTGCTATGGTGGTCATGAGCCATGCTGCCACAGTAGCCTTGGTAATGTCGTTTTCTGACGAGGGCTTGCAGGAGATAAATAGTAGTTTTATCTGCTTTCTGTGGTTTTGAATAGGTGTGATGAAGTATCATAGAGCTTTGATAGGACACATTAGTCCGTCTGGATTATCCACATTCCTACTTGAGGCAGGTATCATGTATTGCCCATGCCCAAAGGGGCCAAATGCTTTTTTTTTGCAATAGATTTTGGAAAGGACCTTAAAGATATTGTGCTCCAGTCTTGTGCATGCATTATTAAGGAAATATAAATGCTGGGTTGCTCTGACACCCTGGCTGCAGCGGCCATATAAAGGATGATTGGGGATTTTCGCTAAATCAAACCAGGGCTTATAGTAGGTGGAATCACAGCAGGTTTACTCATGATTTGGATAAATAGTTTTTAGTGGCTACATACAAGAGCCCAGCAATTGCTATTATCACTGCCGAAACTTTTGACTAAGCCAAGTGGCGGTCTTGGCTAATGAATCTAAGAGCCAGGATACAATTCTCCCTATTATACCAGGGAGTGTAGACGCGGCTTTCCCAGCGAGCTTTCCTAGTGCTTCTCCTAATGCCTATAAATGTTACTTATCCACTCTTTTACACCATCCTTATCACTAGGCAGTGTGCCACCACATGTACCGCCACCTCCACTTAACGCAAGGGCCAAAGTTGATATAATAAATCCCAATGTGGTTAAAATACTGGTAATGGTTATCCCCTGCACTCTGAACAATGTTTTAATTCTTTCAGCCAGTGTAGTATCATGATTGAGGACTTGATTGAAAGTTTCTCGAATTTGACTGATTTGTGAACGAATTGCGTCTTTGTTAGTGGAAGCTGCTTCCAAGCGGGCTGATCTTTCGTCTTCTAAGTTACGCAATCTTTCTGCAACACGGCGTCTACTGAATACATCAACTGCCTGCGCAAGTTTATTTTTCTCTTTAGATATATGTTTGTCGAGTTTATCTACCTTGGCTATATCATTGATGAGTGATCCCAGCATTGTTTGCCATTGTCAAGGCCTCGTAATACTCTAATACTGTACTCCAAAGATGGTGCCTGAATGTAGATTCTTCATAGGTTGCTAAGAGTTCTCCGAGACCATCAGAGGCCTCCTTTGCGTGTTGTGGTATGTCTTCCAAATTATCTTTATCTATGGCTGCAGTCGTTGCTCCAAGTTCAGTCCACACAGTCTGAAGAACCTTAGTAGTCTTTGCAGAAAGTTTTGCTTGTGAGTTGTCAGTCTACAAGACCTAATTTTATTACGAATAGTGTTGATGCCGCCACGACGCCCAGCTATCGTAGACAATGCTAGGGGTTTCCGAGTCAGAGAATTCATAAGATCAATACCTGGAGAGCCACGCAGTCGCAGTATACCTTTACTATCTATTGTAAACTTGGAATAGTCACGGCCAATAGGAGTAACTCATATTTTGTCTTCTTTTAAGGCATTGTAATAGTCATTAATGGCTAATTGCAAAAGTTCCTCATTAAGATTCATAAAGCTGGTATCCTCAGTTCCCCCTTCAACTGCAGTAGTATCAGTTAGGTTATCTAGATTAATATCATCCATGTTTATATTAAACATAAGGAAACATAATTTCAATATAAACAATGTCTTTGCAATATGGGCACAAGTTAAATCCACGTAGACTTTGGGATCCACTAGGAGTCAAAACAATTTGCCAGTCTGTAACTATAACTAATAACCCAAGTACCATTAATCAGAATCAAACACTTTTGGTTTGCTCTCCTAATCTTGGTGCTCATGATGTGTCAGTTCCAGGAACTGCCCATCTATTTTTACAATTAGTTTGACTTCTACTGACGTTAACAGAGAGTTTGTTCAGAACATAGGTCGTGCAGTTGCAAAGAAAAATCACGATGAAAATTAGTGATAATGAGGTTTTGAGTATTGACGACAGTGATGTATACTTCTGTTACATGAATCTCTGGAGAACAGCGAAAGAACAGGAAAACTTACAGTTTCAAGGTACTGGTAATAAAAATTCAATGAGACTGCGTGTGGGTGCTGATAGCGGTAATAATACCATCGCAGAAGATAAGGCTGTTGCTGATGCATTAGGTAACAGATGCTATATTCCGCTTGACTTTGAATGACTAGATAGTCACATGCCCTTCTTTCAAGCATCCCCAGGCGATAGGTTAGAATATGAACTCAATTTTAATGACTACCACAGAGTAATCAAAACCGTTAAAGAAGCTAGCCATTCCATTGATAATATCTCACTGGAGTATGATACGATAACAGATCCTGAATTAGCCAGACAAATTCGTAACCAGTATAGCAGAAGTTCAGCCATTTTGTACGATCGTGTGCTTCGACACCGAAAGATCACCAGGGGCAAAAGTAACACAACGTGGAATATCAATCTAAACATAACTGCTAGATCATTGAAGGGTATTTCAATATTGTTCGAGGACCCTTCTAAACCATTTTCAAGAGATACTGACACATTCTATAACCCCAAGATTACAAAAGTAGAATTGACTATTGAGGGCGTGCCTAATCAACTATATAGTCAAGGTATGCAAGCATATCAATAGTGGAATGAGATTAAAAAACTCCCTTCTATAAGACGAAGCCCAGAAGTTAAAAATCTGGCTCTTGGTGATGTATCGCTAGCTGAATTCCTTACCACGAAGTATGCGCTATGGCTAGACATGCAAACCACAGATGGTGACCAACCACACTGTAGTGGGCGGAGAAAGAGAATGCTAGTGAGGGTGTTACTATACAGATAAAGAAGAAGGCCCGAATGGCTGGTAAATTAAACTTATATTTGTATGTGATTATGG